CTATCCAATTAAATATGAGTCAAGTCAGATAACTTATCTATTTTTGCATTACCCGTACATATGCGACCCGCCCCGCCCGTTTGCCACCCTGATTCCAGCTACCCCAATCACACTTCTTCCCATTTTAGCCACCATTACAAAGCTAAGAAGAATAAACATGTCTGACCTAAAAAAATAGTACATTAGCTAGAGTCTTAACTAAAGAAATCATTGAAAAAGAAAACCCTTATATTTCAAGAAACTAGCTACGGAGAAATAAGCAAAAATTTACTTGCATCGGATATTTATACCAAACAAATATCAAATAAACATAATTAAGTAATTTAATAATATAAAATATATATTAATTAGTCATAATTTAATTATAAAGCATACGTGCAAATATATGTTAGTATGTATTTATAAATTTAATATAAAAATTGTTGCAAGTAATTTTTTACCGTAAATACTAGTCAGAGAAAGACGATTGCCAACGGTGCGTGGCCCAAATTTGGTAGTGTCAGACAAGACTTTTATAGGAGCCTCTCATTACATTTAACGCCATTCACCCTCTCAATCATTGCTAAGTGTTAAAATAGCTATATACCATTACATTTTAGGTTGAGTCAAGTCACAAAAAGCAAGAGGCTGTAAGTTGCCACTTTGCACTTTCAAATGGATGCCAATTTTTACTTTATGCTTCAATCTTTTTATTCCACCCTCTTAATCATAGTTTTTTTTTTTTTTTTTAAAATTCATGAAGAATCTTTTTATATTTTTCACTTACTTTCTGAGATCGGCTTTAAACCATGAAAGCAATCATTAACGTTTGTATTAAGGTACATTATCTATATCACACTCACTAGGTGCAATCTTTCCTCAAATACTATATAAACGCGAGATATAGTGGTGGGCATAGTTTGGGCAAACCCGAAATTCGAATTTTTTAGATTTTTGGTTTGGATTTTCGGATTACGGATTGAATTTTGGATTTAAATTTTAAATTTTTTGGATTTCGGATTGGATGTTGGATTTGGTACTTTGAATTTTTGGATATCCGAAAATCCGAAAATTTTATACTTTATACTTAGTCCATTATCTATATGCCAATAATAATAAGTTAAATACCCTATCCATTAGATATTATTTCATATATGCAATATTAATTACTAAGTTACTGTAAGAATACTTTCTATTTGGACATGGTTTTACTATTTCTACTTCTTATCGGCCATATTAATGTCTCTATTGCATTTTCTTGATAGTAATTTCATTATTTGAATCCTTTATTTGGATGATTGCTGTGAGAATGAGTAACTTTTCAGGCAATTTAATATGAGTACTTCATTTGGATATTCATTTTTGTAAAAAGAAGAAACATGACAACTTATAAGCTCAAAACCGAAAATCCAAAGTATCCAACCCGAATAAATTGAAATCGAACTTAAAAAATCCGATCCAATCCGAGCTTATTTGGATTGTCATTTCTTCAATCCGAAAACCGAAAATCCAAACCAAAATTTTATATTTAATCCGAACGCTCACCCCTAGCGAGATACTTTATGCACTAGGGCTACTCTCTTTTTACTACCTAAGAGAGATTTTATTGCATGGCAAAAGTTGGTAACTTTATCTACACTACCTTTCTTTATTTCCCCCCCCCCCCCCCACCCACACACACCCCCGGGGGGTTGTAGGGACAGGGAGGAGAAAGAGTTGGAAAGGAAACTCTCTTTTAATTCTTCTTCTTACTTTTGGTCGACATGAGCTTAATATATAGGTGGAAATTAATTTCCTTGTATACTGGATCTTGAACTATTTCCTCTTATCTATTTTCCTTTTTTGTATATAGGATATTTCGTTTACTTATTAGTACCCTTAATTGATTTCTTGCATAGGATCTTTTACTTTATTTCCTTCTTCAAATTTTGCTTTTCCTTGTATATAGGATTTTATATTTAGTTTCCCTATATAATAATATTTACATTACTTAGAATCTTAATCCTTAATTGATTCCACGTGTTTGTTTCCTTCTTAATTTTTATTTTCCTAATTTTAACCTAAAGTTTATATCTATATATTGACTCCAAACCGGAATAAAAATACACAACCAAAGTTATTCTGGAATATTATTTTATTTCTTTTTTGTAATTTTGTTGCATGATTTTGTTACGAACGTGACAAATCAGCCCATCCCCTTCAATTTCACAAGTGGTCCTCCTTCTCCATTAATACAATTGATACCTCCCATTCTTATCCTGCACTCTCATATTTTTCTCTCTATACTACCTTTCTATTCTTGTGCACCAACAATTTTCCTCCTTCCTAATTGGGAAAAGTTGTAGTATTAAACTGAAAAATATTATAACAAGTAGAAAATTAAAAAAAAAAAAATATGTCAGTTTCAGATTTACCTTCAAAATTGTGGAGCAAAGAAGAAGAAAAAGCATTTGAAAATGCAATTGCAATGCACTGGGTTGAGGATTCTGAACAACAATGGGAGAAATTTGCTGCAGTGGTCCCCACTAAAACCATTGATGAAATCAAACGACATTATCAGCTCCTTGTTGATGATGTTGCAGCCATTGATGCTGGGCATGTTCCACTTCCTAATTATATAGGAGAAGAATCTTCTTCCTCTTCAAATAAGGAAACCAATTTAGGTTATTCTGGGTCAGTTGACAGACGCTCCAATTGTGGTTATACAAATGGATTTTCGGGTCCAACACATGACCCGATTGGCCATTCTGGTAAAGGAAATTCCAAAGCTGAACAAGAAAGACGAAAGGGTATTCCTTGGACTGAAGAAGAACATAGGTATGGAACTAATTCTTTCTTTTTTCTTCTCAATTGCACTAATTTAGAGTTTTAATTGAGGATTAAATAAAATAAGTGATAATTCATAAAGCCGCAACCTGTTTGGCATTGAGATTTAGTTATTATTATTGCACAAATTTAGATGTTAGAACTTTTACTATAGGTACCACAGTAAAAAAGAAATTCAATTCCACTAATTTAGAGTTTAGAATTTTTACTATATATCCTTTGCTTTTTAGGAGTAGTTAATTCTTTCAGAGTTTTTTAGTTATACAATTTTTAATACAATTTATTTTTATGTGCATAATTTTTTATATGAGATGAGTTTAACTAGAGTAATGTTGTCGGGAATGATTTATTCAGGCAACCCTAATTTTGTTTCGAATTGAAGTGTAATTATTGTTATTGTTGCATTAGACAATTTTTAATGGGATTGTTACACAAATAGCAGGTCTAATGTTTATTTTTTTTAACCTATATACATAAATTATATATTAGTCATACCTGATTATACATATATTATGTATGAATATATAAATTATATATTTGCCAGTTATTTTTAATTTAAGAGACTAGTTAAGTGGCTATTTGAGTTAATTCTTCATTTCTCTTAATCCTATGTCTGAATTTATCCCATTATTTGGTTTACAGGTTATTTTTGCTAGGTTTAGACAAATTTGGGAAAGGAGATTGGAGAAGTATTTCAAGGAATTTTGTGATATCAAGAACACCAACACAAGTGGCTAGTCATGCCCAAAAGTACTTTATTCGTTTAAATTCAATGAATAGAGATAGAAGAAGGTCAAGTATTCATGATATTACAAGTATTAACGGTGGAGATGTTTCAACTCATCAGGCTCCTATTACGGGCCAACAACCCAATCCAAATCCATCAAATCCAGCTGCACTTGGGCCCAATATCAAGCATAGAAACCAGCCCAATATGCATGGTTACAGCATGTACGGTGCTCCGATGGGACATCCCGTCGCTGCTCCGCCTAGTCACATGGCGTCGGCCGTCGGAACTCCGGTTATGCTTCCTCATGGACACCATCCTCCTTATGTTCTTCCCGTTGCATATCCCATACCGCCGCCGCACCCACCACCTATGCACTAGTAAATTGTGCACATTACTGGATTTTTTTTCCTTTTAATTCTATAGACTATAGAGTCATAACATAAATGTTTTTTAGCTGCTGCTGAAACTGAATTTTTGAAAGGCTCCTACCTTGTTTTAAGTATCTTTTAATTGTTCCAATTGTTCTTTTTTAATGCAATTGAGAAATTTGTAAATACTAGAGTTTAGTTTCTGTGTGTTTTGAGGGGTTCATCAACAATTCTTTTGCACAACGTACAAGGGGTTCTTTTTGGCATCTTTGCAATTTGAGTACATTAGCAGCCAAAAGTAGAGGAAGTGTCCAGAAACCAAATCCACCAATAAGGAACAGGAACACAAGAAAAAGGTAAAGCAATAGCTTTCAGTGGTACAAAGGACCCGGGGGGGGGNNACAACAGATGAAGGTTATGTGGAGAAAAAGAAGAGAGGAACTTTGGAACTTTCTCTTGAAAATCTAGAATAAAATAATTTCCAACAAACAACAACCCAGTATGATTCCATAAGTGGAAAAATTATTTTCGATAGACCCCGACTCAAGCAAAACACAATCATAGCACTTTTTAAAAGAAAAAAAAAAGTCATGAAAAAAAAAAGCAGTATCAGCAGTTTATAAAATAATTTTCGAGTGTAAACTAAAATATAAAATTAAAGTGCAACATTTTTTAATCCCAATTTTTTTTTAAAAAAAAATGAAGTTCCATAATAAATTACATAATTAATGCGCAAACTATAAACGATGAGATTTTTAGACTACTTTTTCATTATTTTATTACCTTATAACTTAAAACCTCTTAGCCGTTGAGGAACAGCGATGTTTAACCTACGAGAGCACCTCTTCCCACCCCCCCCCACCCACCCACCACCCAAGGAGGGAGGGCGGGGAGGTAGAACTTTAGATATTTATGAGCATCTGCGCTCTCATCCATCATATAATTGGACTTCTGCTATTCTGCGTAGCAATTCCCAAAGGGCAATGACAAAGACTCCCATTATTGACCCCTACGTAATGACAATGTAATTGCTGACGACAAGCTATTTCATTAAAAAAATTATGAAAAAAACTGTATGAAAGGGCACAGTACAAAAATAAGGGAAGTAACCATTTTTCAGCTCGTTTGTTGATTACTGCAAGTTCTTTGGAACCATAGTCGTTCATACACATGCTGGTAAATTAGAATATTAGGCAGTACTAGAATTAGACCACTACAAATTGAAACTACTATTCCAAGTCAGTCCGGGGAGCGATGGAGGTCGAAGCACAATGACCAAAAAAGAACATTAGGAACTCTAGTTTTTCTCAAGTACAAAACAGCAGCATAGTCTAAAGACCTAATGTATGTAGATTACAAAGAGTCAACATCCACAAGAATAGTTACAACAGGATTTTGCACGCAGCTGCTTGGATAGTATCTGATACAACCACCTCTTTCGTCCCCATCGCCACCATACTGGTACACCAGTCCTGCGTCTTCGCTTACCCTGTTTTACTGCATCAGGACCAACAAGGATATAGTTAAACACACTAGAAGCCCAATCCTCATCAACACCATTGCAGAATTTAGTGTCTAAAAGACTATACAGAAAGCTAACTGTCCTAAAACTTATCATTCAAAGAAATGACCGATTGAACTCGCAACGACCAATGCACTTTATACAGAAAAAGTATTGGGAATTTTCAGCTGATATGCATAAGGCCTCCACATTTATTTACTACCAACAAGTGCCAAAGGATTTCAATTGGGGTTTATTTTGATCCTTTATCATCCTCAGAGTTAAAACTATTTTGGGTATTAGGTGATCGTTCAGCCTCACATTTGATGACTTTTTACCACATTTTAGTGAAGAAAATAGAAGCTGCACCAATATTGCATTTCAGGTAGGTCACAGAATTGTTGTATATTCTCGAATTTTAACTTAGAATTTTGAATTGTTGCACATATATAAAGTAGTGACAGAGTTGACGCAAAAATCACAGGACCAACTGGAGAAACTCTATTGATTAAGTGGGTGTTTGGACATAAGAATAAAATTTCGAAAAAAAATGATTTTTTTTTCAAGTGAAAATGGTATTTGAAAATTAGAGTTGTGTTTGGATATGAATAAAATTTTGGGTTGTTTTTGAATTTTTGTGAGTGAAAATTTTGATAAACAGCTTTTTGTTTCAAACTTTCGAAAATTCCAAAATTCATCTTTCAAGTGAAAATTGGAAATTTTATGGCCAAACATTGATTTCAAAAAAAGTGAAAATTTCGAAAAAATGTGAAAAAAATCATGGCCAAATGGGCTCAAAAATAGAAAACAAAAGCTTATCATCCAAACTAGAGACAAAAGAAAACACGGACCTCAGATATGGAGCCCAGCGAAAATTCAAGTAACTTACTTGTATCCTGAAAAACATAGTGTCCCCATTTTGAATGCAATTTCATGAAGTTTGTCTCCAATGTAGGCCAATAGTTCATCTGAATCTTTAAAACATCCATAACACTTCGCAATCCAGATTTGGAAGGTACAGTATTGTCTAGGTCAATCACAGGACCTTCACCAAGCAAGACCTAGATAAGAAAGGACAACATCAAAAAGAAATCAACTTCTGCACACACCAGCAGTTTTAAGGACAAATATTCAAAACAAAATGTTCTAGCAGTTTTCATGTCACCACCATCACTATTAAGAATGCAGCATCAACGCATATTCAGGACCTAGAATAATCTAGTTAAAAGTAGCATTACCAAAAAAAAAAAAGGAACAAACTGTGATATATCCACAATTTGTAATCTAGACTTCTCCAAACATACTGCCAGAAAAGCTCGCTTCGATAAGAGATGTAAATCCTAGTCATGAAACCTTACAATTATCCAAAGAGTTGATTGTTCTAGTTGCATTAATGACTTCTCTGGTTTATCTGCTCGTTAAGTGAACTGAAAAAGATGCAGGGTGGATAATCTCCTTGTAGAAAAACACATAAGAATGTACAATTCATTCATTGGTCAGCCAGGATTTCATAATATGCTTGATGCACAAAGCAATGTGTTTAAAAAAAAATAATAGGCCAAAGCATACCATTACTCAACAATTCATTCTACATTACTCAGCCAGGATTTCAAAATATGCTTGATGTACAAAGCAATGTGTTTACAAAATAATAGGTCAAAGCATGCTATTACTCAAAAAGATGACCAATACAATATCAAGCCATCTGGTTCTGACCAAGAAGCCTGAACTCTTTGCAGTTTGCACTATGCACGCACAACTGGAAGCAGTTGAAACCTATGTTGCGCGGACTCTCCAAAATGATGCCGCACCCGTGTCGGATCCTCCAAAAATACACTACTTTTGGAGGATCCGACACGCACCCATCGACATTTTCGGAGAGTCCGGGCAATATAGGTTGAAACATTCATCACACTGGACTTAGTAGTGATAGTCATGATAGAAGTGAAGTAAGACTAGAAGGGAAAGAATAATGTCTTGGTTTTTTCCCCCTTGAGTCTGATATCCTCTTCTGTGATGTAGATTCTCTACCTTTTGGTATACCTCTTGTATATGGGAGTTTCTCCCTTTTTTTATTTATTCCATTTACCTTATACAAAAAAATGTATATGTCCATACTGATAAAAACTCCCTCCTGACACTGCAAGTTCTTTTTCATTTTTCAAACTATAAGTTTTAATGCGAGACACTGTAAGTTCTTTCTTTTGTTCCAACAGTAAGTTCTTTTACATGCCCTGTTCGTCAGTTCTTCCCGCTCCACCATTCACTACCCCTGCCTAAATTAGAGTAAATTTTACCTTAATCACTGCTGTAGCTGATGATGAAATTGAACGAAGATTGTAGCTGCAAAACATTGCCATTCAAAACAAGCAAACATATAAATCTCCAGTTCACTTGGACTAAACAACAAGATAAAGGAGCAAAGAGAAGACACAAACCCGCCCTCAAGAATAACAAGCAATTTTCCACCTGACAATGCACTCAACATTTGAGTCATTGATGCATAACCAGCAGGAGTTACCTGCAAAGATGATCCCAAAGGTAACACTACGTAGCACATGCAACATACAAGAGGAGTAATGAGTACAACATTAAACTAGTCGATACGAAGAAAAATTCTTACATCACAGCAACCAAGGGGATCACCCCTAGCAGCATCAAATCCTGCTGAAATGATAGTAAAGTCTGGATTGAACTCCAAAGCTGCAACAAGGTGGAAATAGAGAAGTTGATGAGTTCGCTTCTTTCTTGTTTTTCTGTTTTTCTAAAGAGAAATAAATCTATATCAATATCTATATTTTATTAAAAGCACAAAGCCCCTTAGTGAAATATTGTTCGTCTTTTTAACACTTTAAAAACTTGTTTGACATTGGGAAAAATTATAATTTAGTAATTATTTTCCTAATATTTAGGACTTTGAAATTAACAAAAAAATTGACTATTAAACTTTTCCTTATTTGAACTAGACAAAAACTCCTAATATTTAGAACTTTATAATCATTAAGATTTTACCTTTAATAAAGGGGATCTTTACACAAATAGACGGTCATATTCATTGTTTACTTTTTCTAGCCATATACATAGATTACACATTGATTATATACAATTATACACATATAATACATAAATTATGCATATATTATACCTCCACCGACTAATTTTAGTTTAAGTAGTTAGATGTGCGGCTATTTGGGTTAATTCTTCGTAATAAAGTATCCTTATCATCTTTAATTTACTTCGACTAAGATATAGGATAATACGAACGATTCCATAAAATTAGAAAAATAGGAGAAATAGTTATTTTAATCTTATAAGAACACCAGCCTTAATTTACTTCTATTAAATATAGGATGATACAAACGATTCCATAAACAAGAAAAATATATAGGAGAAATAGTTATATTAATCTTATATAAGAACGATCTACTATATATTTTATTCGATTTGGACTCCAAAGTTTCCCAGGTTAACAACAGGATCAAATAATCAATAATAGTTTACAAAATTAAGTTTCATGTGTTCTTTTATCCTTGGGTATAGTTTTAGTTTAGAGTAATAAAATATATACACATATACAAAGCTATATGTTAAAATATTACACTCAACACTTAGAACAAACAACTAAGACATATTTTTAATAATATAAAAGAGAAAGACAGAGAAAGAAAAATGACTGAAGAAAGTCCTTAACACTAACACTTCAGCAAACACAAAGTGCAAAAAAGCAATTCCGTTACCATTTTGGAAATAAGATAGAACAATTAAATATTTAATATTTGATATGAGCTAATATTAAGATTTTGAATATACAAAAAATAATAATGAGAATAAATAATTAAGTATTTCAAAATCTAAAAAGTAAAATTATTTTTCAAGTTAACTCAAATCGTGGGGACCATATTGTTGCATAAAAGACCGTTGATGATGAAACAAATAAAAATAGAGCAAAATTAGTTATAGTTCAGTATTAAGAGTTAACTTGATTAAAATACAAACATGAAGAAACGGGAATGAAACAATAAAAGACAAAATGAATTCAAACTAAATCGTCTAATATTTTCCTTTTTTAATTAGTAACTAAAACCTCACTAAAAGGGTAAAAATGAAACCTTTGAGGGAAATAAATTGAGAAGACATATGAGTCAATTCTTTAATTAGTGTTATTTGAAAAATTGCTGAAGAATCACAATAGAAGTATACTTAAGCCTACTTTTGTCTTCTCGAATAAACTTTATAAAAATATTTTAAAAACAAACTCTTAAATCTGCAAGGATTATGTGTCTTGCTGAAACTAAAAAGGGAAATATGATAACTTGTGAAATTTAGATGATAAAATTATAAAATTGGAACAAAGCTAAGGTGAATATATTGAACGATGAATGAGGACTTCTATGACACAGAGTTTCCCTCTTTTATTGAGTTAGCTATATAAGATCAACATTTATTTAAAACATTAATCAATTATAAGAGCTTGGGCTTTTATTTTATAACATCCAAAAATAACTTTTAAATAATATTTATGTGATTTTAAAAAAAAATTACTCATTGAGATTGGGTACACGTGCAATGAGCATAGATTGAGACTAGTATGTTCATAAGAACAAGAAATCAAGTGAGCTACAAATAATCAACCACTAAAATATGCATAATGCATATAACGCAGATGAAAAATATAACAAACTAATTTGATCAGCATGTAAAAGGTCGAGAGTTTGATAAAAGCACATAAGATGGTGTTCAAAATAAGCCACCAAAAATCTAACCATCAACACAGCATGGTATTTCCTCTCTACACAAAGTAACAAAGGAATAAAAGCGAGTTTTGAATGACATGAATTAGTCTTTCCACTTCTTCAAAAGTTCTTCAATTTCCCTCTCCATATTAGCTGAAAAAAATCAAAAAATACATAGCGGTGCCCTTTTTCATGTGACTTTCGTCACAACATCTAGTTTATCCATACTCCTACCTGTGTGAGCTTGCTCATATTGCCCGCCACAAACCTAAATAAAGGAGGAAGGTTGCATGTTGACACTCAAAATAAACGTAGTAAAAACTCATGATGACTCCTCGAAGCATAAAGTACATAGGTACGTGCTCACCAAGGTACATGTTAATCAGTATCCAAGTGTAAAAAAATGTGGAAGGGGTTCCATTTACCATTTATCAATAAGCTCCAATTTTTTATTTTAAGAAAAGGTAAATTAAAGACATCCTGCAAAAGTTCATTTATCTTTGATGGAGTCCTCTTTGTGCAAGTAAGAACTTGCTTTTGGCATCCCAGTCATAAACTATCAAGAAAGGAGCATAACATGCCCGCATTTACTTGGCAATCATGGAGGCTTGACTTTGGCTTATGTCAACAAGGGATATATCTAGCCTCAGCCTGGTACTTTACTAAATCACCTTTTCCAAGTATCCTTACTTTCTTTTTCTACTAGTTTCTTTTTAGTAAGGTTTGATTTTACATAATTTCTTCACAGATAAATAAAAAATACCTATAGGAAGCACAACTTGCTCAAATGCAAAAATGTAATCCTTGTCACCCACTCCCCCACGGCTCCAAGGAATATTCACACAGTATCCTTCTGCACCCATGGAGCCAACCTGCAAAATAGGAATATAAACTATGACATCCAAATGCATCTCTAATGAACGTGATTTCAAAACAAAACACACGTGAAAATCATGATTTATGGAGGCCTTTTCTAGGAAGAGCTTAAAATGAATTAACACAAAATTAAGGGTTATTTTGACAAGAAACGAGTACCTCATCAGCAGCTCCTGTACCAGGGTAGAATCTTCCACCCTCATGTCTATGCAAAGATATATACAAGACCTGCTCAGTAAGAGTACCACAACATTCAGGCATAAAGAAATTCTCCCTACCAAATAACAAATTTACAATGTTGGGAAATTATTTATAATACACTCCCCGTGTCCCAAATCATGTGATAAACATTCTCATTTTATGACATCTAAAAAATTTTGGAAATAAAATTTTCCAATATTCTGCTTATAATTCGTGGTGTAGATGTTTTGCTTATCAATTAACTTTACAAGATTTCCAATATTTCAATAACTGCATTCAATAAAAATGTAAAGTCATACTAATTTCTTAACATATTCTGCTAATCAAGATATGTGAACATAAACTGGGACAAAGACAGTATCAAAGGGATAGAAAAGAATAGGATCTCTAGTGGCAACATGAAGGCCCTTTTCAGTGCTTTGCAAAAGATTGATCATAACACAAACTCAGTTTAGCAATTCATTGCTTACAGATTTGCTTCTCTCAAATATTTCTTGTGTACCATTCCCATGATGAACATCCTGCGAGAAATGAGAAAATAAATTACCTAATAGGTTACAACTTTTGCATTTCTTGTGTATTATACGAGTAAAATATCCCATGTTAACTGAAAGCAATGCAATCAAGGATAAAGATATAGCATTAGTAATTACCCAATCAACTATTAACACCTTCTTTGCACCAGCGGCCTCAGCTGCTGATGCAGCAATTGCTGCATTGTTGTGGAGACAGAAGCCCATGGCCTGTTTCACACCAGCATGGTGACCGGGAGGACGAACCTGACTCATTTTTTACAAAGAATATATGAGGGTGGTTTTTCTTCTTATATGGAGAACGCTAAATCAAATGCAAATTATTACCAGAGCAAAACCATTTTTGACACGCCCAGAGTAAATTGCTGAAGCAAGGTCAGCACATAAACCTGCTGCAAGCCTGGCAGCACACGCTGAATGTTCATTTGCATATGTATCAGGTGTAAAATAACTGCCATTTTAAAAAGTTCTTGATCAAGATAAATACTAATTATAAGTTTTTCTATATCATGAGAACACTCCTAGTACAGCGATTACCTTAAAACAAAAACAACCACCAATAAAAATGAAAATCAAATGATCAATATTCTCAAACCTGGCAAGCATACGCCTGGTAATATCAACGGCTTCGATATTCTCTGTGGAGTGGACCTAAAAGATCCAAATATATAATTAGAATATGAAAATCTAGTTCTATTTCTAGAAGTAAAGAACATCACCTCCCCCGTCTCTCGATACATAAATCATAAATGCTAAAAATTGTTGGGTGTCATCGCTGAATAAGAAGCCTTCCATTTTCTATATTTTATTTGTAGAAAACTAGTCTTTAAATTGTTAGAGAAAGCAAAAACCTATCAGCTTGCTTCTGTAGCTGGATATGTAGCAATAAAACTATCTTACAAGGGATGTTTTGTTTTTGCTTCCCCCTTCACTTAAAGGTAGATATGACGCTTAGCCAATTTTAGGTTGAAACTAGTTAAGCTATTCACCTCAAAATAGCAGCATGTAAAAAACTTGAGAAAAGTACGAGTGAAGTCTAGCATCTTCACTGACTACAATACTTATGGGTCTCAGAATGCACACTAGTACAGACAATATCAAATAATGCTGAATACAACACATAGCAGAACCCTTCACCCACTAAACAACAAGTACTTTAAAGCATCTTACCATCTGGAGTTCTTCCCTTGTAATTTCTCTTGCAGCAATGGGATGGCACTTCCCCGGAAATATACCTTAACATTTCAAGAAATCACAAGTGACTAGACAATCATTTTTCAGAGAACTGATGTCATAGATTTTAAGCAGCACTAAACCACTTAAGTATTCTACAACTTCACATAAAATAGGGGAAAGTGTGGATGCCCATATGACAATACTAGGCTATAACACTGTAATGTTCCCTACGGCATGCGGATAACAAGAATACGAGAAAACCTGCTGTAGCGAGGCTAGCTGCAATGGCTCGGAGGCGATCTGGTCTTTCAGGATGTGGATGAGATTTCATTACGACCTTTTCAATCAAAAGAGAACCCAGAAATAATACCTTTATCAAAACAGGAAACTGGTATTCACTAACTAATATCCTAAACAAAATGCAAAAAAACAACAACTGAATTCTTCTTTTCTCTTTCTCATTTATGGGACTAGAAAAGGCATAAGAAAATATTAAATAAAAGATTAACCCAGAAGATAAAAAATTGATAAGTACCATACTTCTGTGTGAAGCAACATCCTTTCATCAAACCCTACAGCAGTGGAGGATGATAAAGAACTCTGCTTGTAGGGACCTACAGCAGTGAAGAAGAATCAATATACTAGCTATGCTAAAACAAAAGAAAAGAGAGAGCATAAACAATATCGTGCAATACACAGACAAACATAAAAACTAGTAATAGATACATGCACCAGTGGAAAAGGAAAATAATGAGTTTTACAAGTTAGAGGCTATGAGAAGTAGTACGTCTGCTCAAAGTCCAAGGGACTTCACTTTGTAATCAATAAAATAACCTACGACAGTTCATCCACTGAACATTGTGAGATCAAAATTATCAAACCTCCAAAACAAAACAACATCTCAATCACGTCTTCAGGTCTTTCAACCACCTGAAGCCCAAGTATTTGATTGAGAACTTCCATTTTCTAAAGAGCTCCAGCTGTGCTAAATACTTTACCCCTTACCTTCACATATTCTAAGTTCACCCCTGAGCTCAGCTTTTGCTTCCACATGACTATATACATTTTCATATGTTAGATACAAATCTGCTTTGGGTCATCAAAAAATGAAAAACACTAAAATTTAATTTTTTTTTTTGAAAATGAACACTAAAATTTAATTATACTTGGGTGAACTGGCAACGTTATTCTTTTTAATGAATTACATTGGTTCTAGAAGCACTTTGAACAATGACTCCCGAATATGAGGTTATAAACCTATAAGCTCACCCTTACATTTTGGACTTCCATTCTAATTTCTAGATAGTTGACCTTTCCTTGCTGTGCTGGGGTCTATCGGGATACATGGTAAAGCAAATGGAACCAAGAAACAGGGTTACCGCATTGGCAGGAGAGGACACAAAAGGCGAAGGCTCACCCATAAATAGCAGTTACATACTGGACCTCAACTTCCAAAACATTATTCCTTCCACCAGTAAATAAATTTCACAGCTAACATGATAGGTCGACTGTCATCCACAACTAGATTCCTTGTCCAAGACTATTCTAGGAAAGTATGCAAATTTCTTTCCTACGGGCATATTTTGTATGACGGGATAACTTCAACTAATCATGTAACAGTTCATCGCACGAGAAAGTCATTTTCTTATCAATCAAAAGCCCAAATAAAACGTCTTACTAATAAGAATTACTACCAACCTTTAGAATTTTCAGTTACAGGCAACTCATCTTGGTTGACATCCTCTACAGGCAGATATGGAGAAGCAAAAAATCCACGCGTGAGGATTCCAGATTCTCTGTGTTCTCCGCATACCTGCATAGACAGTATTCAAGAAATAAACCACAGCCTATAGAATCTCCAGTAGGAGACTGGGCATGCTGAACAAGAGCAGAAAAAGAATAGCCAAAAAGATACACAACTCACTTCACAATTGGAAACATCCTCGACATTGACCATTGTACAATTGACACAGAACCACCTCGGAACTTCTACTTGCTTTTCTGATGGTTCCCAGTCACTGTCATCGTCATCCTCGTCGAGATTGTACCGAGCATTGTACATATCCTCCAGGGTCATGTCATTTTCACGCTTCACACTTTTCTGCAGTTGCAAAGTTACAATAAGGAATCATTAGACACACACCTTCAATATCACTGAAAAATACAAAATGAATTATAGCAGCTCCCTCACAGTTATAGCAGCTGGCTCAGGGTTCAAATGGGAGATGCCATCTGAATCTCTTGTACAATGTTGTGACACTTCCCCCGAGTGTCCATCATTAGGACAAGTATAATCACAAGATGTGGACCCAACCCCGTTCAATCTTCCGTTTAAGTCTTGACGTATAACAACTTCTGATTGATTTGGAATATTGGTTTCAGTCTTTCCACCAGTTAAATTGCCCATTTTAAGTGTCTCTGAGACCTCGTTGTCTTCGGAATTAATAGCACAATTCTCCACCAAGATCATTTCTCCACAGCAATCACAATCATCTGTGACAAACATCAAATACTAATTAGTATCAAATGAAATTTAGACAAGCACTTTTAAATTTACAAAGTGCAAATGCCAAAGCGGTCTGCACCATTACCCTTTACTGTTATAACACTAACGTGACACTACAAGCGTTTAACAAATTTGTTTAATTCCAAAGCAAGATCTGTTTAGAGATAAGTATTGAAATTGTAGTAAGTTCAAAATCATACAAATATCTGAAAAAGAAGAGAATTGAGATATTCAAAGCTACATTTTTTCTTGATAAGCGATATCCAAAGCTACGAAGGTAAATATGGATTTAGTGTAAAAGTGACATACTGTTTCAATTGTCGCTTAAATCTTGGTTTTTCATTGATCAATAAGGCTAAGCCTGTTGAAAATAGAGCATAAACACAATGCAGCTCCATAGAACAATTTAAGTTTTTAGCTTTTACTAATCTAGTAGAATGGGTCGACGGAGCACCTCTCAAGTAAGCCAAAGTAAGTGCAATGTAGTTGCAGTAGGGGAAAATATACCAACAGTTCCTTATAACTTACGAACCTGTATCGGTAGCAGCGACGAGGGTAAAGTATTTGTCGTAATTAGACCAAAGACGTTAATATAATTTGGGATACTTGCAACTTTACTCCTATAAAGAAAAAAGATTCGGAATAGTTATAACAAGCAAAGTGGAAATATTTCTGAAGCACAAAAGCAAGAATTTCTCCTACCTCTGACAATGGAAGTGCTAATGTGTCTGTGGGCGGAAGACGAGAGGGTTTGTTAGCCGAGGTTGATGAACGGTTCGATGGACTGAAGGTTTACCTTTTTTTAATATTTGCCCCCTTTCCGCAATAAATAGGAGTGCTATTTTTTAGGGTTTTTCTTTTTATTTTGTTTCAAGAAAAGGACATAATTTGGTTATCAGCCCATTGTTTGACTCAAACAACATAGGAAGTTTATAGCCTCTTTGGCAAGAACGTATTGTCTCTTTTTTTTTCGAAACATAAGTCAATCATTTTAACTTTAATGAAGGCCATTGAATATTCGAATTTCCGATACTAACAGACTCAAGGACACTTTTAATCTTGGATTACTTTAGAACTAAAGTGGCATCCATCTACAAAAAGAATCTATATCTATATTTATATCTATATTTATCTATTTATATTTATATTATTATAAAAGCACGAATAATTTATGCTAAATGTTGAACGATTAAAATATCCCCAAAATATTGATCGACTTTTTTGCCCTTAAGTATTTGTATAATTTAANAAGCCCTAGCTTACCCTTTTTATGATCATACCAAGAACTCCCAAATCCGAGCTCAAATGACCTATCAAATCCCAATTTAAAATATCAAAAACTCAAGCCCTAGCTTTACCCCCTTTGAAGAATTTCAACCAATTTCCATGTTAAATCTATCAAAGTTCCATGTATTTAGGCCAAGGGACTTACCTCCAATCACACCTAGTCGAAATCCCCCTTCAATTCCGTCCAATAGCTCCCAAGCTCGCTTAAAAATGGTGGAAATAACATAACCCTCGCGGAACAAAATGAATATAAGACTCCTACTGGCTTCAGGGGTTTCCGCTTCCGCGGTCCCCACGCCCGCTTCCGCGCAACCGCTTCTGCGGTTTTTGTCCGCTTATGCGGAATTTCATTAAAACTCAAGGGCCGCTTCTGCGACACAAATTTCCGCTTCTGCGGAAGCTCACCTTCTGGCCAAACCCGCTTCTGCAACCGCCTGTCCGCTTCTGCGGACTCGCTTAAGCGAAAAGTGTTCCGCTTCTGCGGAACTGCCCAACTCCACTCCAGGCCGCTTTTGCGACCAAGATTACGCTTATGCGGAACCGCTTATGCGGTCCATTTCCACAGAAGCGAACATACCAGATACCAGCAAAATCTGTCATTTCCTCAACTTGAATTTCATCCCGATAGCCATCCGAAGTCACCCCTAGGCCCCCGGGACCTCAACCAAAAGCACCAACATGTCTTAAAACATCATACGAACTTGCTCCAATCATCAAATCACACCTAACAACACTAAAATCATCAATTCACATCGGATTCAAGCCTAAGTTCTTCAAGAATTTCCAAAATGCACTTTCGATCAAAAACCCGACCAAACGATGTCCGAATGACCTGAAAATTTGCACACATATCCAAAATCACCTAACGAAGCTACAGCAACTCTCGGAATTCCATTCCGACCCTCGGATCAAAATCTCACCTATCAACCGGAGTTCGCCAAAATACTAACTTCGCCAATTCAAGCCTAATTCTACACCGGACCTCCAAAATCAATTCCGATCGCACTCCTAAGTCACAAATCATTTTCCGAAGCTAACCGAATCACTAGAAATCACATCCGAGCCTTCTAACTCATAAGCCAACGTCCGGTTGACTTTTCCAACTTAAGCCTTCCTTAAAGAGACTAAGTGTCTCACTTCTTATCAAAACCAATCCAAATCAACTCTAACGCACCACATACCGATAACGAAACATAAGGAAACATAAAAATGGGAGAAACGAAGCAGTAACACCTGAGACGACGGGTCGGGTCGTCACAACTATATTAAAAGCATGAAGGCCCTTAGCGAAATGTCATTCGTCTTTTTTACCCCTTTAAAATAGAGTTCGCTCTAGACAAAATAGTCATTTAATTATTCTCATAATATTTACCATTTTGAAGTCAATTAAAACTTTACTTATTAAAGTTTTCCTTACACAGCAAATCATAATATTTAGGACATCAAAATCAATTAAGTTTACCATATAAAAATCAAACAATTAGTTTATAATTTTCTTCTTCTTATTCTACGTGCATAAAATATTTTAGGAACGTGCAAAGCTCCATTCAATGTAGTACACTTTTCTTCCAATAAAATATTTAAACTACTCTATATACATCAATTCATATTATTATTTACTTGAAAATATACTTATGTGTTATAAATAGAATTCTATTTAAGATGAATGTCTATATTTTAGAGAAATTTTAAGGCTTGTTACTTGGTGGCTAAGTCACTTTTCCCCTATAAATAGAGGGGTTCTATTCCATTGTGATTCACTCCAAATCAATAAGAATTCTCTCTCCCTACTTTTCTCTGCACTATTTTTCTTCTTCTTTTATTATTTTATAACACGTTATCAGCACGAGACTCTAACCAATTGAGTAGAAGCTTTGGGATTAATCAATTGTTCCATGAACTTCCTTCATGATTAAATTCTGAATTTAAGGTAAGTATCTTACTTTATTTTTCTCTTTTAGATTCTTGACATTCTATAATTTGATTTTAAATACAAGCAAAGACAATAAATCTTGATTTTAACTCTAATGGAGTTTCAAATAAATTATAACCACCCAAAGTGGTAAGTGGTAAAATTTCTATGTCTTGCCATGATCAAATTCAGGTATGATTGTGGGCAAAGAATTGAAACCCATCCCATTGAATTTGCTTCATTCTCATTCCCTCAAGAGAATGTGATAGCAGTATGTGATAAGCCTGAAAGAAGATAAAATTATTACTATGAATGTATTAATGGATGTTGACGTGGCAATAGACGAAATTATAATCGTCATCATTGTGGTAATGAGAACAATAAGGATTCTCAAAATAATCTTTCACTTTGTGAAAGTAATATTTATCATCGATTTGAAATGATATTTTGTAAAGCACATATAGATGAGTATGGTCCATTCATGATGTGAATGTGACAACATGTGATTTATGAATACATATTCATTCTTGGAAGAATATGAACGTGCTAGTGGTAGTGAATATACCACACACTCACCTCCAGAAGGAGTTTTCAGATGATATAAGAAAATAATGTCATTATTATGGCATGAATGGTCATTGGTCACGTACCTATTGCACGCTAAAATATTTTGGTAATGTGATTATTAAAGAATAACATTAATGCAAGAAACAGATCTTGCATATAATTTTGACCATAACCATAATGGTATAACTTTCTTTTTAAAGGAGATATTCACACTATATGGATGTTGATGAATATGTGGTAGTACAAAATTGAGCTCTAGAAGAGCCAATTATACTATTTTGGAGAAATTGATTATCAATAAGACGTCGTGTTGTAGTAAGTCTCAAAGAAACTTAATTGAGTTTCTAAAGTATTCGCGAAAGCGGTTGGTCATACTGAGACTAGAAATAAAGCAAAGGTTTAATATCTTCTATTACTACAACTTGTAGCTAAGTAATATGTATGTGAAAAGCTACCTGCTTTATTCTCCAGTTTGTACTACACAAACAAAAGAATGCCACAATAAAGAGAAGTTTATTGATATAAAAACCCATATCATAATAAACTTGGAGTTTATCGATAATTGCACGCGTCATGGTGTAAATCTGAAGTTTATCAATATTGATAATTTATCCACTTGGCATAATTGATTTAGCCATGTTAATTATGATGTGCAAAAATAAAAGAGAATTCACATAGGTAAATATTAAAGAACTAGAAAGTTCTTTACGAATTCTCTTACATTGCTTGTTCTTATTAATTAATAGACCAACAAAAATTGGGATTGATCCCATGAATGCTGGAAATATCAAAGGTGAATCTGGCCCATTCACCTGTCATGTATACCACATAAGATGCATCTATGAGATGGTTGCATGTGCGATTATTAATAATCCGCAACATGGTATTTTGAGATGTAACTTGCTCAATAATTTAATTTCAAGCATAATTTCCAGATTTTCTATTCAAGAAGTTCATCTTGATAAGTTGGTTTACATCACAGTTAGTTTAGCAAAATAATTATTGAGTGCCTCCACTTAATAGCTAAACAATCGCTTATGAGAACAAAGTTATCTATATCAGTTTGATATACGTTATATACCAAAGTATATTATTTTCTCCCCTCACAAGTGGTTCAGGGTCAGGAACCAAATAATTCCATCTTATTATTATTGATGTGCGGTGTATATTTCTATTATCACCATAACGCACAAAGGTGGATTTTCAAAGTTGAGGAAGCAAGTTAGTTTTTCTAACATGAGGGGGAGAAAGGATAAACAATTGAGAAAAAGTTACGTGAAATGAATTATCATTTGTACATCTAGATCCTCCAATAAGATAATATGAACTTGAAGTTCATAAAAAGATAATTCATCTACAATATATTGCAAAGCATGCTAGACGCATTTGCTGACCCAAAGAAAGTAACTATATTCTCAGTGCAAATGCTCCTATTAGAATAAGACCTTGAAGGACAAAGTCTATGGTGCACTTAAAGCGTATAGACAAATCGGTTTCAAATAAATTTCTTGATAAAGAAGATGAGCAAATTATCTAAATGATCATAATAAAGGAGGCAAGTGATCTAGAAGGTCACATGACATAAGACTTCATAAAATCTCATGAGAGATTCAGGTACCTGAATATATGAATGAAGAGATCTCCATGTTATGTCTTTATGGAAAAAAGTATTGGAACCGATATAAAATGTTTGTCGACAACATCTATGATAGCGCTAAATATATATGAGGATCTTAAGTCTGGAGAAACAATTCAAGTAGAGTTTGGTTTCATATGAAAGACATGTAGTTTTGAACATGTAGTTCAAACACTTGAAAGTATAAATCCAATGGTATGTGCAATCAGTTTTCGATATATTATATGTCTAGCATGACATGAAAACTTAATATGCATCTAATTAAAGTCTATTTAAATGGCTTATTTGACTATACTTATATGACAATCCCCAAAGAATTTAAATTGCTCAAAGATCATATGAAGACAATTTGTGCACAAATTTATCCTGCTATAATTATACGCATGATAATATGATAGCAAGAGTTTTCACCCCCCCTATGTGAAGATATTGAAATGATGATTCCAACAAGATCATATGAAGACAATACATCTATCAGGGATGATGATTTCAAGGTGAAACAAACTAGTTGAAGTTAATATGGCTGGTTTGTTTATCAAATCTCTACCAACGATCTTTTGAAGATGGTGCACAAGATTGGAATGCGAAAGCTCAAGGATGTGAATTGATGCTCTCATCAGGGGGAGCTAATGCGTGTTGCATTCTTTTTTCCTTACAAGGTTTTGTCCCACTCGGTTTTCCTTGTAAGGTTTTTAACGAGGCAACCAAAAGGCGTATTGTTAGATATGTGTACTTTTTTTCCCTCTCTAGAATTTTTTTCCCACTGAGTTTTATTTTAGTTAAGGTTTTAATGAGGCACATTATCTGGTAGATAGACATTCAAGGGGGAGTGTTATAAATAGAATTCTATTTAAGGTGAATGTCTATATTTTAGAGAGATTTTAAGGCTTGTTACTTGGTGGCTAAGTCACTTTTCCCCTATAAATAGAGGGGTTCTATTCCATTGTAATTCACTCCAAATCAATAAGAATTCTCTCTCCCTACTTTCTCTGCAACATTCTTCTTCTTCTTTTATTATTTTATAACATTATGTTATTAATTGTAGTTTTTTTTTCTATCTATATCTTTAGCCCATTCTGGCCATCTAAAAATCATGAGTACTATGAAAAACTTAAAATCGAAGTTTTGAAATAATACTTGACAACTATACAAACAAATTATGAAAAATAAATAGTATACAATTCAGTGTAGTTGGAAAACAAGGTAAAATACTCTTAACTTAACTACTGGATAAAGTTATAATGTAATATTTAAAACTTTTAAATCAAGTAAAATTTTAGTTATTAAATAACTCTTTATTCTAACTATATACAAAATTCTAATATTTTAAATGTTAAATAAATTATTTACTTATTTGAAGTGTGTAACACATCTATAATATCTTTCATGTTAACTTTTTAATATCTATAATTTTGAAATCAACTAAATTTTATATACTGAACTTTTTTATAATGTTTGAAAGTACACTTAATAATTATTTCGACCTCCAAACATGATTTATTCTCTATGTGTAGAATCTATTCACTAATTATAAAACAACATAGAATCGATTATTATTTTTTGTTAATGTATGCAAACTTAAAACAATAACAATAAAATAATAGAAGAAAAAATTGATTCTAAATGAGTTGTCATTAATTATCTTTTTCTTTTTGCAAATTTTTTAATAAATGAAAGCTTCCTAATATATATATATATATATATATATATATATATATGTTATAAAACAATAAATGAAGAAGAAGAGTATTGCAGAGAAAAGTAGAGAGAGAGAGAGAATTCTTATTGNTATATATATATATATATATATATATATATATATATATATATATATATATATATATATAACTATATATATATATATATATAACGTTTATATTTTCACATATCAATTTTTTCAGGCCAACCTAGTCATGATAAAAGTAATTAATTTTAATTATTTGATCATTACCAATGCATAAAATAACAATAATTATCATAAGATATTCTTATAAAACTATAAGGACTTTCATTGCGCTGGATATGAGATCAATATATAGACTTTTAGAAAGTTATACATTTTATTTTATTTTATTTTTTATTATAACTCAAAACATTGTTTAATATTATTTATGTAATTTTTAAAGAAGTTATTTACTTACTGACAAGGGGAACAAGCACAAAGTGCGCACCCTACTTTTAGCGAAATATCATTCCTGTTTTTACTTTTTTAAAATAGAGTTCACACTAGATAAAATAGTCATTTGATTATTTCTTAATATTTAGGACTTTGAAAAAAACTAAAATCATTCTTNATACCCAGTATTCGAGGCCCCAATTCAACCGGGAAAAGGCGTGTTGAAGCTATCCTTGATGACAGAGTGATTCATGCCTCAAGGAAAGATCACCAAGAGTTTTTGGTGAAATGGCAAGGCTGTGATGCAGAAGAGAATACTTGGGAGAGGGGAACAAACCTCAAAGCCTACAAGAGCCTCATTGAAGATTATTTTGCAAGTAAGGCGCCGAGGGCGTCGCCAACTCAGGTGGGGGAGAATGTCATGGGCGGCTTTCCAGCCATGCCCCATGACCCCTTGGGCGCGTCCCGTGGCGTCCTAGCGAACCTCCCAATGCCTAGCGCCACGGACAGCCCCGTGGTCTTGGCCGCGTCAAGTGACAAGCGCGCAGGTGCCTCTGTCGCCCCACCGATATCCCTCGTGAGCGCCAAGCCGCAGGCAGAAGCCAACAGCGCCGCGCGCGCAGACCGTGATGCCAAAGACACTGCTGCTGACAACGGACCTGCTGCTGCCTTATAGAAGACTAAGTCATTTTCATTGTAAATATAGAGTAGTTTTATTTCATGTACTTCCATTATGTTTCTCTAGCTTAATCAAGTCTACTCCTGTAACTTTGGATTATTTTTTTTAAGTACTATTAGGGGGGATCAAGCAATCAAAAACTTTCTAGCAAGCAAGCAATTCCTTGTACTGGTGTCTCTCCCCCTCGACACCGCGTTGCTTTTCTGTAATAGCTTTCATTAATGCAATCAAGCTTTCTTTCATTCTAAATTCTCATTTCTGTTCTCTCAATTGCTCTTGACATTGGTTTTCCCGTACGGCACTGACAATCTCGTCTAGCGTACGGAGGGGATCTCAATTGGCGGACAGCAACTGCACTGACATCAGTTGCCTAGCCTTACGTCGCCCTTCCAAGGAATCTCAGGAAGGCGCCGCGTAACAGTACACACGCATCGCGCGTATTCTAAGACTAGTACTAAAGTTAAATACACATAGAGCGTTCACTTAAAACTCCTACAAAGGAAATTGAATACAAAATCTACGAACCGTGCAAGCATCCACTAATACTTAAATTAACGTAGATTGTCAACATCACACACTTGGAGTGCGGCCCTTCCTCGGACCTTGCGCGAAAGCAGCATCTCTTATGTGCACCGGGTTGTCTTTTAATTATATTGGAACAGCCAGGCATAACTATTAGCACTAGTTTATGGTCTCGAGGTGAATATTGATTGTGAATTGACGCCATTGGTGATGACTCTAAAGAGGTGATCATTTTACATTACTTTAACGCTATTCATGACTGCATGTCCCTACTGAAATAGCTCGGAGATCCACTGATTGAACATGACTATAGGGAGCAAAACGAACTGGCAGATCAATTAGTCATATATGGTAGCAAGATGCAGAAGACTATTGCTCATATATTACATTTTGCAGTTCCCTTCTATGTCTGTCTTAAATGTTTTTGGAGGCAAATAAATTTGGTATCATATATCATAGAATCTCTACGGTGTGATACTACTTAATACTAGTACTAGTATATAATATGCTACTCTTTTTCCACCAAGAAAAAGGGTTAAAAAAGTCAAAAGTATCTCTTTCCAATTAAATTCAAACTTCCATTAACCACAAAAGAAAAAGTTTATTTAAGCACAGTTTATACTTAAATTACAGATAGATAATATATATACTCTCATCTCCGCAACCACTCATTTCTTGAAGTATAGATAGAACTAGTCTCATTTATCTGGCTAACAAAAAGTCCCATTGCAAAGTGCCACAATCCTGATAGATCTCTAATGCCCCACGTGGGCGGAGGCTCGTATTTAAAACTGTAACGCACTTCAGCTGTTGAGATTGTAAAGCTCACCTGGTGTCAAAAGCATGACTTCTGATTCAATCTGAGCCAAGTGTTCCTCTTTCAAATTTGTACTCAAACGCATTATTTCTGTCACATTGAACTACTATGAAAGTTTGGAGCTGAAAGCTTTTAGAATTATTAGAAGTGATCCGTCGACAGATCCCTGAGCCGGGGTCTATCAGATACAACCTCTCTACCTTCACAAGGTAGGGGTAAGGATCCTACTTTGCGGGATTACACTGAGTTTTTTGTTGTTGTTATTGTTGTATGTTGACAAATTCATGTATGGCTAACTTCAGCATACAAGTGACTTGAACAGCTATCACTGGTCAGCGGATGAAAAAACATTACCAGTTCCGGACACCTGCTAAGGATGTGGGACAAAATTACAAAAGAGTCAGAGATGGCACTAAACGGAAAGCTTGAAAGGAAAGCAGAGGAGGATTACCATCTCCTGCGTTCTGGCCAACATAAGTGAAGACAAAGTTTTCTTTATTTCATCAATATCTTTGAGCAATTTCTCATTCTCAATATTGCCACTTCTTATTTCAACGTCTAAAGCTGTGATTCACATCAAATTCCAATTTAGAACAACGAAAGAGTTTGAAATGAAACACCAATTGTTGTATCTTTTACCAAGCATACACAATTTAAAGTTCTTGCAGAGTTGTTGATAAATAGAGCAATGATATTTCAAGCTGTTCACACGTAAAACAGAAGCCCAGACGAAAAAGAAAGAAGAGGCTATAAGAGCTATTGACATTATATCACAAAATGAAGGATAGAACAACAACAAAAAGCAGAAATGATACCAAGATAGAAGATAGAAACGTAACTAACAGGAAGAGAAAGTTACCAGACGTTGTGTGCTGAAGATCTTCGAGAACCTCTTCCACAAAAGCTGCTGTTGAACTTTCCAATGCTTTGGTTTTCTTGTTTAAACTATGAACTTCATTCTGTAGCAGCTCTTTCTCTGCTAGCAAAGTGCATACTTCATCATTATCTTTTACAGAAACTTCATTTTGAAAAGCCAGGCACGACGCCATGAATGCATCCCTGCAAAAGTCAATGCTAAAGATTCAGTAACAGTTATCTTGAGATATGGAATTTGTCAACAGAAAGAGGCTGCCCCTTATTAAAGATATATAAACTCTTGTCATTTGCATTTCCACACATAAAATATCACATAGTTTAAGAATAGCACCTTCTGTTATTCATACTCATAAGTATCTCGTCACGTCTCGTTCTTAGACAACAAATCTTTTCGTCCAAATGTTTGAGAGAGGTCTCTGAACCAGCTAAAAACAAAGACAAGAATTCAGAGGAAAATGGAAAGTAATGAGAATAAAAGTCAATCACCAGTTCACCACCACTTAAAACAGTCTAGAAAAAGTTTTATGTATATGTTTCATGTATTGTTTTAACCCAAAACAACTGATACTATTGGAAGTTCTACATTTAGTTTTAGGCTCATATTTAGGGTAGTAAATCAGAAGATCGTAATATTAGCGTAAAAAAAAAACTGAAAGCAAGTAATTTGACAGCTGAGCACAAAAAATGAATTACCAAAAAAAGAAGAAACAGATTAAAATGCCGCGCAAAGCCACTATACTCTAACATAAATACCATAAACTCTCATCAATCCATCGATTTCAAATTGCAGTGCATATGCAGTTCTCATCAGCTCCGATTCTCGAGCAGCCAAAGCGCTTTCGACTTCCGTACACTTCACTATTTGTGATTCAATCTCTCTCGTTGCCTGAATGTTCGCCTCAATTTCTTCGTTTACCTAAATGAAATTCCAACAATATAAGCTAATTTAAACCATGTGATTCACCTATCACACACAAACACACATAGACATACACAAATAGTATATAATTATACACAGATAAATACACCAATACACACACAAGCACACACAGTGAATGAGATAAAGCTGAAGCACCTGATCAAGCATATCCTTGAACGAAGAGATCTGACACAGAATTGCACCTGAGTCCTCCATTGCTTCAGTTCTCGCTCCTTCCTTTGTGTTATGTGGATGCTCTCTTAATTTGCCGCGCTTTTATTTTATAGAGGAAGCTGTAAGCTACGGGGTTCACGATTTTTCGACATTCAAAATTTGACTCCCTCTAATATTTCGTTAGGACACTTTGCCCCTTCACTAAATGCCAAATGCACTTCGTTTCCCCCTATTGTGTCATGATTCAAGGAATGTAAAGTGTTACTGATAAGTGATTTTTTCGATGTTTTCATACGGATTAAGAAATCTACCTTTTAGCATTAATTAGCAATGAAATTGATCATATTAACCTTTACCATCTCACATAAACACTCCTAACACATATTCCAACACTATTTACTCCAAGTACAATGTAGGAAAAAAGTAATTAATTAATTCTTGAAATATGGAAAAATCACTTATTTTGGACCACAAGAAAAAGACCAAAAAATCATTTATTTTGGACCGGAGGGAGTAATGATAAAAAAAAAAATTATACTACTACAATATTTATTGTTTGGACTTTGGGCAATTGTAGTCTGTAGATAGGCTGTATTAAATTAAAGTAACCGGTTTTCTCTTTGTAAGCTGCTGCGGAATCAGCAATAAAACATAATTTGGGGCACGCATATGTGTATGCTATCGCATTTGGTATAAAAGAGAACATTTTTTATAAAAATATTTTCCACGAGTATATGTGCTTCATTTAATATTTCCTTCGAGATTAATGTAATATTATCTTTTAGATCATTTTAAAAATATTTTGTCAAGTAAAACTAAATGATATAAAATAATAATACAAGCTGTAGGATTGTGTGGATAAAGCTTTTGTGTTGCTTTTGGTAATATAAATTGACAACTATATCTACGTGTTGATTGACACATGTAAAATTGAATGAGAGTTACAATCTTTTTTGAGGATAATTACTTAGATCCGCTAGTCCTGATTTTTGGGAAAATTTTATTTTGTATCTCATACAATTAACAATAGTTATATGAGACATGTTTTTTTGTGTCACAGTTTTGTACATCCAGATTTTATGGACTCAGAAGTATAAGAGCCCGTTTGGCCAAGCTTTCAAAAACTACTTATTTTGAAGAACGCTTTTATTCAAAAGTGCTTTATGAAAAAGTACACTTGCCCAAGTAAGTAATTTGTGTTTGGCCGATTTGTTTGAGTAGTGCTTTTTGCAAGCTCATTGTGTTTGGCCAATCTTTTAAAAAAGCACTTTTAAGTATCAAATTACGAAAAAGGACAGTAAGGGTTCGATTTGCGATTAGTATTATTTAGAAAAGAAAAATAAATTTAAACATTTTTTAGAAAAGAATTCCATTAAAATATAAAATGTAAAGTAATAAATATAAATTAAAAATTCTCATTAATAGAATATAGTTATTCCAAAACAATACCCCCTCCGGTCAAAAATAAGTAATTTTTTGGCCTTTTTTTGTGGTCCAAAATAAGTGATTTTTCCAGATTTCAAGAATGAATTAATTATTTTTTTCCTACATTGCCCTTGGAGTAAATAGTGGTGGAGTATGTGTTAGGAGTGCTTATGTGAGATAGTAAAGGTTAATATAGTCAATTTAATTGCTAATTAATGCTAAAAGGTGAATTTCTTAATATGTGTGAAAACATCCAAAAAAATCACTTATTTTGGAACGGAGGGAGTAATATTGAGTGTTTAGTATCACTTATTATTTAAATCATAATTTAAATATGTCAAAATACATCATTCAATATAAATTTAAAATCTACTCTTAGGAATAGGAGAAAGAGAATAAAAATGTAATTAAAATAAAAAAGAGAATAAATGTATAGCAAAAATAAAATAAAAGGAAAGGGAAAAGGAAAAGGAAAATTAAATTAATGAGGGATAATTTGAAAAATATAAATTTATTGTAAAGTTATTTTTGTCTTGAATAAATTAACTTTCTACTTCTGCTTTTTGGAAGAAGTTAGAATTTTTAGTTTCTCCCCAGAAGCAGAAAAACTGCTTCTACTGCTGCTCAAAAGTACTTTTTTATTTTGGCCAAACACCTTAAATTTTTCAAAAAGTACTTTTTTGACCAAAAAAGTACTTTTGGCATCCTAGAAGCTTGGCCAAACAGGCTCTAAGATTAGGATCCACAAATTTGTGAGAGAAAAAAGAGCCTCACACAACTGACATTAGTTGTGTGAGGCACACAATAAAACTTTGATTTTTGCATTTAAAATAGCCTCCTGAACAAAAAATAGCCTTGGACCTTTGAACATAAATCACTATTGGCTGATTGAACAACATCATTCAACGAAGATTAACTCGCTTTTTTTACAGGTTATCATAACAATACTCTCCCTCCTCTTTGTCTATAATTTCAGCTTCCAAAATTATTCCATGTCACTTAAATGAAGCTGTGTTTTCCTGGTGATTAGAAGGAAGAACCAAATGCAGTTTATGTACAAAAAGAGGCATAACGAGCATAAGAAATCTGAAGGTAACTTGCCTCTTTGAGATACATGATTTGTGCGATTCTCTCTTAGAAAATAGGTTTCAAGAGCACACTGATGAGAGTACTTGGTGAAAATGCTTGTCTATTGAACAAGAATGGTCTAGCAGACTAGCACTATCAAAGGAAAGTAAAATGGAAAATTTGAATCAACTTTTACCAAAGCAGAAAACCCAGAACTTCACTTATCACTTAAATTTAAGCCAATCCATGGGCAAAAAAGAGGAGTTGCATGGGGAAAAAGGTCGGCTAGGAAAAATTTGGGCGGGGGCGCGGAATAAGTTAAACGTTATTTTCCTCTCCAAGGATCTCACTTCAAATAACATAATTCACAAAAACACATCCCTGTGTGTGGGGTGGGTTGGGGGGGGGGGGGGTGTTCTCTATGATCATCTCTTCACATGATAGCAGCAACCATCTCTGCTTTTCCCTGTCTACCTCTTCAGAGATATAAACAACAGTTGAGGTTGAAACTCAATCACGCCTTTGAAAAATTACACGAAGATTTGCATACCTGCACCAGTCATTTCTATCAATCAACAACAAAGACAGCTAACTGCAACTAACAATTTGAAGCGATAAAAATGACCTGGGCTACAAGCTAGGGAAGGCAAGGCTAAAAGCAAACACACTCGGCTTTCTTCCTACGCAATTTTCAGTTGTAAAAAAAAGGATTTAGATGGAGATGCTAGCATTTCAAGTAGTTCTGGATTAGATTTAAATCAATACAATGATTTTACATTTACGAGTAATTGGAAAGGAGATGAGTTACACAAAAATCACAGAAATGTTTTTGAGAAGTAAGATAATATGGAAATTAATCAAAGGAATTTGGAAGGGACCTTACTTTACTTTTACTTTCTTCATTTTATCAATATCCTGACTCCTGATTTATTATCATCCTCCTCCTGTTCTCTTTCCCCATTTCTACTCTACTTCAGCTCCTTCCCATCCCAGGTATTTTACACACAAATGACATGAATATTTATTCCCTTTTATAAGTAGAGTTCATCCAGAAGAAAAACCCACATAAGATGAATACCACACATTTAAGGGCAAAATAATGAAACTTGAATCAATTGATGCACCCATTCACCATTTAACTTCAGTCAAAGGTTTTACGCCGTGATTTCTTTTGGAAATACCCCTGGAAGAAATGATGTAAGAAGCATCTCTTTTTCCTTGCAAATAAAATAATGTGTGTTTGTGTAGACAGTATGTCCAACTATTACATAATGTTAGTGAATGAGACTGACAATGAGTGTCTGGCCATGTAAACAACAACAGCAACAACAACTACTACACCTCTAATAAATCTAATAATTGTAATGATTTGACGGGAAATGTGCCACCTGTATTTTTCTCTTTCTAAACTCCTCTCTCCGGCGAGTCACCTCTCCGGTGTTCTCCCTCTATGGGGAGGAAATCTTTTTTTATTCCAGGCGATAAATCCTTTTGATCTTATTGAAGATAGTGAGGGAACTGACAGATGGTATGTATGGATAGAACGTGGTCATAGATTCACAAGCCAGATTCAGATTGACGAAGAAAACTTGAGATGGGTATATGAGCAAATGCAACAAGCTTCACGGGGTTATGGGAATTTCTACAGAAGATGGGGGAGGAAGATTCAAGCTTATGTCTATACGGTCTATCAGAACTACAACAACTATGGCAGATATCTCAGAATTGAAGTATGGGTAGGGGACAGGAAGAAAGCAATTATCATTCCAGAAGTTGTTCAAAATAAGGGATGGGGAGACATAGCAGGGAAAATATTAAACTTTCTTGTGGAAGCTTCAAATTACAAATACAAGGAATTTACATATCTGAAAAGAAGACCATTCATAGCTGCTGCTGAAATCTCGAAATGGCCTCTACAACAGGAGGATGATAAAACCCTAGGTGGAGCAAAAGATTTTTTAGCAAAATGCTTGGTTGGCTGCTTCAATGATCCCTTCAACTCAAGTCCCAACACTGAAGTCATACAGAAATGGTTTCTCACAAGGTGGAAAGTGACAACCGGCCTCAGAATCACCCCTATTGCTCACAACAAATTTCTTTTTGAACTACCTTCCAAACAAGAAGCAGCCAGAGTCAAAGCAGGTGATTGGTTCTGGAATGGAAGACGCCTATCCCTAGAATGGTGGTCGCCGGAATATGGGTCTTTTCCGATGGAGAATGAAACTGGGCAAAGATGGGTCAAAGCATTTGGTATCCCATTGCATGGCTGGACAACAAATTCTTTTCGTCATATCGGGGAGCTCTGTGGAGGCTTTATTGATGTGGATGAAGACACTAAGCACAGAACTCATTTTTAGTGGGCTAGAATTTGTGTCCAAAGCAAAGCCGAAGTCCCCCCAAAGGAAGTGGAACTGATGATTGATGGTGTGAGATTCAAGATCTCAATTCTGGAGGACCAAATATCTAACATTATTGCGGACGGAGATGCTGTAGCAGCTTCAGAGAAAGGAAAAATGGTGGAAGTAGGGTTGAAGTTACCTCCGGCCTTCGCTTCCTCGAGCTTATCGAAGAAGACAGGGGAAAACCCTTCGGTTCATAACCTGCAGCATAGACGACCGAGACACTTTAATTCAAATGGGGTAAAAAAGAAAACTTGGGCCAACCCGCCACGTGGACCAACCCAACTTGTAAATAATAAGTTAGGCAAAGAGGCTGTCAAAATATGTGCCAAAAAATAGACCAAGTGTATTACAAAAGAGGCCCAAAGACCAAACGAAAAGCAAAATGACCTTCTGCGAAATGGCGGGCTATTGGGCCTCTAATAGACCCATGTGTTAATAAAAACAGCCCTATCACTCTTGCAAATCAATTCAACCCCATCACTGCTGATATAGAAGCCTTAGAAGGGCTACGAGCAGTCCAGTTGGCCAGAGACTTCGCTTGTGACACAACATCAGATGCAGATGATGAGGCAGAAGAGATGAAGTTAATCATTCTGGACAGCCATTCCTAAAGCAATTCGAATCAGTGAGTAGTTCTGAAGCTAATGTCTCTTCTTGTGACACTCTCTCCCTCCCTTGGTATGATCTGGGTTCCCCTAGTATGCAACCAATCAGTTCTCCAACAGTTATAGAAACTTCTAGATGGACCAAATCAGTGATGGTCAAAGCATGCAAGGCATTTGGAATCCATTTTTCGGGGTTTGAGCATGAGATTCTTGGTATGGTCTTGCGCATGGAGCAAAAAAGACAGGAGCAAATCCATAAGCAGGAATCTTTAATCAAGGCGAGTTCAAAGGGTAAGAAGAAGCAAACATTAGAGTTGGAAAGATTGAAATGGGGAATGAATTCTGATGGCAAGAAGGAAGGGGTTAGGGGCAGGTATTACAAGGTATTACAAAGCATCCTCTGGATGAAGATCAAAATTCTTAGTTGGAATGTGCGGGGTCTCAATGAAGCAGAAAAAAGGAGTACAATAAAGTCATTAATTCACAAATGGAAAGCAGATATAGTTTGCTTACAAGAAACAAAGATAGAAGACTGGTCACCTCTCTTGATCATACAAGTTTGAGGCAACAGATGGGTCGAATGGGCAGCTCTGAATTCAATTGGGAGAAGCGGTGGAGTCATTGTGCTTTGGTATAAAAGGCAATGGTCCAACATGGGAGTACATCAAGGTCTCTACACTATTTCTTGTATGCTTGAAAGCTCACAAGAAGACTTCAGGTGGTGTTTCACAGGGGTTTATGGTCCACATAACAACATAGAGAGGAGAACTTCTGGCACGAACTTGCAGCTATCAGAGGCATCTGGGAGGATCAATGGGTCATAGGAGGAGACTTCAATGTTTGTAGATATGAAAGTGAAAGATACAACTGTTTTAGAAGGTCCAGGGCTATGAAAACTTTTACAGATATCATCCAAGACTTGGGCATCATCGATCTACCCCTCCAAGGAGCTCATTACACTTGGTTCGGGGGGAGGATTCCTTGCAAGCTTCCAGAATTGATAGATTTTTAATATCACCAGAACGGAATGACAACTTTAAAGCTATCAAGCAGCTGGCTCTTCCAAGAGTTGAATCAGATCATAGGCCTCTACTTCTGGAATGTGGTGATTGGCAAGCCAACCCTTCCTACTTCAAATTTGAAAACATGTGGCTCCAGGTAGAAGGTTTTATGGACAAAATTGAGTAATGGTGGCACAGTTACTCAATTGGGGGCAGTCCAAACTTCATATTAGTGCAAAAGCTAAGAAGATTGAAAAAAGACATCACAGACTGGAATAGAACCTTTTGTCAATTGGAAGCACAAAAAAACAGACTTCTGGAAGATTTAGCTTTGCTGGAGCAAACAACAGAAAATACACTCATGTCTCAGGCTGAAAAGGAACTATCAATGCATTTAAAGCTGGAGTTGAAAAAGATGGCAAAGGCGGAAGAGGTGTCATGGAGACAAAAATCTAGGTGCCTGTGGCTCAAAGAAGGAGACAGGAACACAAAAAATTTTCAGAAAGTGGCCAACTCTCACAGAAGAAACAACTGTATAGATAAACTAATGCTTGGGGATGAATTAAACGAAGACAGTGATGAAATCAAAGCTGAAATCTTAAGATTTTACCAAGACCTGTACACTGAGAATGAGCAATGGAGACCTACTGCGACCTTTGAAGGTTTGGCCAGCATAACATCAGTTGAAAAAGTATGGCTTGAAAGACCTTTTGAGGAGGAAGAAGTGCTGGCAGCAATAAACTCATGTGCACCTGATAAAAGTCCAGGTCCTGATGGATTTACCATGGCTTTCTACCAAAAAGCATGGACTTTTATCAAATATGATATTATGGGGGCTCTCACTCACTTTTATCAACACTGTTATATGGTTAGATCCTGTAATGCTTCATTCATTGCTCTTGTTCCCAAAAAGAAGGGAGCAATAGAACTCCGGGACTTTAGACCTATCAGTCTCATTGGAAGTATCTACAAAATTATTGCCAAAGTTCTAGCTGAGAGATTGAAGACAATAATTTGGAAATTAGTTTCTGAGAGCAAAGTGCATTTATGAAGAATAGGCAGATCACAGATGCCTCACTTGTAGCCAATGAACCGCTGGATGACAGACTGAAAAGAGGGGTTCCTGGAATTCTTTGCAAGCTAGATGTTGAGAAGGCTTTTGACAAAGTCAATTGGTCCTACCTAATTTCAATGTTGAAAGCTATGGGGTTTGGGAAAGATGGATCAAATGGATAAAGTACGGTCTCACAACTATCAAGTACTGAGTTCTTGTGAATAGATCTCCAGTAGGCTTTTTCTCTCCGCAAAAAGGAATTAGACAGGGTGACCCTTTGTCCCCTTTCTTATTCATCCTAGCCATGGAGGGTCTAAGTAAAATGCTAGACAAGGCAAAGCAAATGCAGTGGATTGAAGGGTTCAGGGTGGGAAACAATGCAGCTACCTTAGTCACAGTTACTCACTTACTTTATGCAGATGATACTTTAATCTTCTGTGGGGCAGAGAGATCTCAGGTGCAGTTTCTAAACCTGACACTACTACTATTTGAAGCAATCTCAGAGTTGCACATCAATATGTTGAAAAGCATGATTTACCCCGTGAATGAAGTACCTAATCTGGAGGAACTGGCAAACATAATGGGCTGTAACATAGGCTCTTTTCCAACAACTTACTTAGGCCTTCCTCTAGGAGCAAAGTACAAAGCAACAGAGATCTGGAATGGAGTAATAGAGAAAGTGGAGAAAAAATTGGCAACATGAAAAATGCGGTATCTGTCCATGGGTGGAAGATTGACACTAATTAGCAGTGTTTTAGATAGTATTCCCATTTACATTATGTCCCTCTTCCCTATGCCAAGCAAGGTGCAGAAACAACTGGACAAAATCAGGAGAACTTTCCTATGGGAAGGAAATAGTGAAGGCCATAAATTCCATCGGGTAAAGTGGCCAAAAGTGATCATGCCAAAAAAACAAGGAGGTCTGGGTATCAAAGACCTTACCAAGCACAACAAGAGTCTACTCATGAAATGGTGGTGGAGGTATGCTCAAGAAACAACAAGCATCTAGAAAGAGGTAGTTAATGCCAAATATGGGGTGCAAGACCGGTGGTGCACCAAGCAAAGCAGAGCCCCACATGGAGTTGGCCCATGGAAGCACATCAACAATCTGAAAGATGCATTCTTTCATGAGGTATCCTTCAAGATTGGGAATGGCAACAACATTAAATTCTGGAAGAACAGATGGCTCAACAATCAACCTCTAAAAGATTCACATCCTGGCCTCTATCAGATTGCTTCTGACCCTAACTCTTCAATAGCCCAAAATAGAGTAGGGAACACATGGGATCCCCACTTCAGAAGAAACATGCAGGATTGGGAGCTAAATCAGTTATTTGACCTATACAGAGTACTTGAAGAAGCCATAGTGAATCCTCAAGTCTCAGGCAGCTTAAGGTGGGGCAATTCTGAAAAGGGTATCTACACAGTGATGGCAGGATATAGTAAACTAAGTGCATCTAATGATATGATTGAACATTGGACATGGAATCTGATATGGAAGACAAAACTCCCTAAAAGTAATGTGCTTCTCCTGGACAACCCTCAAGGAAGCTATTTTGACCCAGGATAACCTGTGCAGAAGGAATTTTCAGTTGGCAAATAGTGCTAGATGTCTGCTCAACTCAGAGTCGATTAACCATCTGTTACTACACTACACTGTACAGTGGCAGCAGATCTTTGGAACATGTTCCTTGCTCTTTTTGGAATCAGTTGGACAGCCCCTCAGAACATTAGGGATGCAGCAGTTAGCTGGAGCCTCTGGGAAGTTGATAGATCCATCAAGAAGATCTGGCAAATGATCCCAGCTTGTATTTTTTGGTGTATATGGACAGAGAGGAATCGTAGATGTTTTGATGGCATTTCAACTTCCAACTGTCACCTGAGGTCTAAATGTTTGATGAGTCTTTTCAGCTGGAGTAACATTTCCCCTGTAAATGATATTATCCCCCTCTTAGATTTCATTAGCTCTCTCTCAATGGTTTAGTAACCATTACCTTTTGCTCTTGGTTAACTCCCTGATCTAGAATAGTTTTTTGTACTAAAAGTTAACCAAGTTTTCTATTGTAACCTTTTGCATCTTCTTGATGCCTATAATGAAATACCTTACTTCAAAAAAAAAAAAAAATTACTACACCTCAATCCCGAACAAGTTAGAGTCGCCAATATGAATCCTCACTTCTTTCATTAAGCTACACTGATATCATCATCAATACCAAAATAAAATAGAAGTGAACGAAAATAAGATAAATATATATATAAATAATAGTGATAATAATATTGATAGTTCTCTACCAAGTCTAAAACCTATTCTCAACTAGTGGATATCACCTAGTTGAGGCCATGTAAATGTGAGGCCGAAAAGCTTTTCTTTCCTGGATCTTAATGAACCAAAAGACTATGCTGGCCACAAAAACCCAACACACAAAAGAGAATCCGGTTACTAGGATTAACATGAGCCTGCACTTACTCATACTGTTGGTTCTTTTACCGGGGTCGGAGTAGTTCACAATCGTCAAACTTTCTGCTGATCAAGCCCTAATTAAGACTCTTGAGTTGTATGACCGTCCAAACAATGTATCCTAAAGTCATTGTACTACAGATTTTGTAAGTTCCATAAGCTTGAAATTTCCTAACTTTATCTAAGCTATAAGCAACAGAAAATGAAAAGAATAGTACCTATTTCGGAAGAGGGTCTTCCAACAACTCAGTGGGGGTATGCGTCTCCGTACTTTGCTTCATTTTGAGCTCCTCTTCATATTTCTTCAATCTCTCGTTCCACATTTCCTACAATCATAAATTACAGTGATTTATACAGATAATTGTGCTTATGCTTAAAAATAATTGAAGTATTGAACCTATAAAACGAAGAAGATCAGAAAACCTTGTACTTGAGTTCAGCACGATGCATAGCATAGAATCCAAGTATGCCTCCGAAAATGGTTCCTGTTATTATTCGAACATAACCCCATCTCGGCGATCTCATCGGCGTCGTCATTGATTCTAGTCTCCTTCTCTTCCCTTTGTTCCGCGAATCCTAACTCTGAGATCGACGCAGCCAATTGTGATGCATTCAAAAATATAATTACTACTAACTGTGATGCATTTAAAAATATAGCTGAAAATAGAACATGCACAAAATGCAGCTCCATAGAACATTCTAAGTTTTTAGCTTTTACTAATCTAGTAGAATGGGTCAACGGAGCACCTATCAAGTTAGCCAAAATAAGTGCAATGTAGTTGCAGCAGGGGAAAATATACCAACTGTTTCTTCTAACTATCAGTAAATAGGACCATAATAGGTCAAAATTTACGAACCTGTAACGGTAGCAGCGACGACGGGAAAGTATTTGTCGTAATTAGATCAAAGACGTTGGTAAAATTTGGGATAATTGCAACTTTACCTCCAATAAAGAAAAAGATTCGGAATGGTTAGAACTTAGAAATGGAAATATTTCTGAAACACAAAAGCAAGATTTTCTCCTACCTCTGACAATGGAACTGCTAACCCGTCAGTTGGCGGAAGACGAGAGGGTTTATTAGCCGAGGTCGATGAACGGTTCGATGGTTTACCTTTTTGTTATATTTTTTAATATTTGCCTCCTTTCCGCAATAAATATGAGTGTTATTTAACTTATTTTCTAGGGTTATCCTTTTTCTTTTTGTTTTTGTTTTGTTTCGGACATAATTATATTGTTAATTAATGTTAAGAGATGGATTTCTCAACGTGTGAACAACTAAAAAATAAATTAGAGCGGATCGGAACGAGTATTATATAATATGTTACTCCTTTTTCCCCAAGAGAAAACGGTTAAAAGAAGAGTTAGACCAAAATATCTTTTCCCAACATTCTAACTTCCATTAACCAAAAAAAAAAAACTAAATCTTGTGAATCAATATGTCATGTATTTCTTAAGAAATGGATTACTTCTTGATTGCGTGTTTCATCTATTATAGTTTAGGTGCTTTCTCGTGTAGTTGTCATTTTATAAAATTTATGTAAACATTTATACTTAAACTATAGATGGATAATATTAGAGTTGTACATGGACCGACTTAGTTCGATTTTTATTCAAACCAAACCAACTATATCTGTTTAAATTAGTTCGGTTTTGTCGGATTTTTCGGGATTTTTTGTTACATGAATAATATGTCAATCTTACTTTGTTAAATTTTTTTAAGTAAATATATATTTAATAAAAATTAAAAAAAGTTGACAAATATATGATCTATTAAAATATTCTTATGGGATAATTTTCATAGTAGCACATGATAGTTATTTTTTTAGTTGTCTGGCAATAACTTTTTATTGATGTACACTTTCAAGGTTAACCAAATTTAATAATTAAATATAAAAATCAATATAATACCTAAATAATAATAAGTACTATTTAATTTTCAATTATCGAAAAACCACTTCAACAACAAAAAAGATAAGAATTTATTAGATCTTGATATCTGAATATGAAAGAATAAAGAAACTGACACATTTCAATAACACTTGATAAGAAAGTGATCATACAACACAATATTTAAAGTTAATAAGAATGGAGCACTTCATATTTTACTAAATATTACATCCCATAAGAGAATCCCAAATATTTCTAGATATCTTTTAAAGAAAATTCTGTATAAAATCTTTAAAGTATATACAAATATATATTTATATGTCGGTTTGGTTTGGGTTTTTTTGCTCAATACCAAATCAAATCCAACCAAACCTCAACAGGTCTTTTAATCGGTTTTGTTTGACTTTTCGGTTTGATGCGATTTTCCTGTTCGATCTGTACACCCCTAGATAATATATACTCCCATCTCTGCAAGCACTCATTTGTTTAAGTATAGATAGAACTAGTCTCATTTATCTGGCTAATAAAAAGTGTCAAAGTGCCACAACCCTGATAGAAAAAGTAGCTTCTCCATAAGAATATTTTTTTAAAAGAACTTTTTTGAAAAATACTTTTGAAAAAAATATATTTAGAAGTATTTTTTAAAAGCTTGGTTAAACATTAATTGTTGTCGGAAAAACACTTCTCAAAATAAGCTGATTTAATAAGCTTGGCCAATCAGGCTAGGAATCTCGGTCTAAAAGTTCCAACATCAGGCACTTCGAAGGAGAATACTGAACGAAATATTCTGGGAAGGGGTGAAGAAAGAGGGAAAAAGAGGTAAACGACTGTTTCATTGAAACTTCAACATGTTACAATCTTACAACATACATACGACAATATTCACAAAACCACACCTAAATCTCTTACACTACACCATCCAATACAATTCTATCCCCTTGGAAAAATATGTGGGAATGTACAAAGGAGCCAACGCTTTCACTGGTACAATTTGATGACCCCATGTTCTCTATATTTTTCTGTATATGTAACATACATGTATTACACGGAACACCAAATAACTTGGAGCATCCAAAACATCAAAGGTGTCAGGCTCTTGTAGTGTTACACTTCAATTGCTGCTGGCTTCCCCCTCTTTTCTCCTCAGCTTTAACGATCTTTGCCCAGGTTGCTGCTTCATAGAAGCACCTACTAACAATAATCGAGACATAACATAGGCCAATAGTTCTTCATGATGAGAAAATGTAAAATCCAAATGAGCATACTCAAACTCATTATATGACACCTCCACACCTGCATCCTTCATCAGCTTATAATGTTTCCTTACCATGGATGGCCTGATGACCTTGTCCTTTCGCCCAGCAACAAGATCAACAGGAATATCAATAAGGGAATAATACTCCCCCAAATCTAAAGGCTTAGGGGAACCATAAGCTTCCATGTTTGCAGCCGCACTCCCATAGTCAAACATTATAAACTTCCGACTGTGCTTGATCTGTGCCAAATGAAGAGCCACACGGAATGAAACAGCTGGCATATCATTCATATTGTAGTGCGGCAACCCTAAGACTCCAACCCAATTTGAACTGTCTCCACCAACCCCATAGCTTATGAGAGTTTGCACAAGGCCTCCAACTGCTGGTAAGTTGTGGAAATCACGGGCCAACTTGTTAAGCAGCATGCGGAAAAAACGAGTGGGTATATAGAAAGCTGACACAAAAGGGGCAAGTAGAGGAGACAATAGTAGGAATAAGTATTCCATCATTGTGAATACAGGATTGGAATCATGATGAAACCCAGCAGGTGATAATAAGATTAATCTTGAAAGTCTATGGGGCTTTTCCTCAATTCGACGTGTTAGGACGTACATTAGAATAGCAGCTCCTCCCAAACTATGGCAAATTGCACAAAGTTTGTAAGGTTGATCATTGTTGCTCTCTTCCTCCACAGCTTTTTGGCTATTTTTCAATTCAGTAACTTTTGTTTTGTGGATCTTCTCTATCATTGCAGGTATATCATGTGTCCCATGCTCATTTATGGAGTACTTCCAGTACCTGCATGAACATCCACATTTAGGAACTAAAGTAACTTGATAGCGATTCAACAATCACCAAACACACAAAATATGAAGAAACTTTTTTTTTCAAAAAGAAGTCTAACGACAATTTAGACATGATGGGAGCTGCATGAAGTAATACACTTACTGGCGTGAGGATATGTTCTTGTCAACATGCTCTCTTGAGACCAATCCACGGAAATTTCCTAGGAAAACATCATACCCTGTAATCAAGAAAGACAAGCTTGAATACTACATAATTATCTCAGGAGAGTACAGTATATGCACACCCAAAAAATTAGTTGACACAACAGCACAATGGACAAACCTTGATCATAGGCTGCAAATGCTGGGGAACCAACAACTCCATTCGATACCCAACTATAAGTCAAATCACCAAGTGAGAGATCAAATAGAATAAATAACGATGCAATTGACAGTTAGAACTAATCATAGCCGTAAATCTTAACGATGCAATTGAAAGTTAGGACTGATCTACACAGTATTTTTTATTTGATTTGCACAGGGTGTCGGAGTCTCTAAGAGCCCCGACTAATCCCGGGGATGCACAGGCCCTCGGCAAGGAGTTTCCCGCAAGTGCACCACGGTTAATTCAGGTTTTACCCAGTCCGATGGCCCACAGAAATTGTTTGCACCTAGTGGGTTTCGACCTTGAAAGGGAGCAAACCCCAAGGCTCAAGTCTATTGCCACCAGGCCAACCCCTGAGGGTTGACTGATCTACACAATATTAAGGAAGGAAAACATAAGAACTAAAAATTGAAGGACTACTACGTCTCAATGCAACATAGATCAAATGACATCGACAAATAGATGCCTCCTCAATTTGTGTGATTTGGCGAGGGGACGAGATATAATGCACACAATCCACAAGATCAAAGTGCCAGATATAGTCGATCTCATCCTCAGACGGTATAAATTGATAGCCTATTACCAGTTCTACACCTTCATCAATGTCCATATAGAAAATAGACCCTCTCCAGCCAAAAAAGTTTCTTGAAAATACTTGGCTTCGCCCAGAAGGTAGTTCAGCTACAGTAGCAAATTATCCTGATCCTGCTTTCAGGATCACACTGATATTTTGACATTATGAATATGTAAAATGAGAAAAGCAAAATACTGAACTCCCTGCTCAACATTCCATAATCCTAGTCCTTTATCCAACTCCCTAGCGAACTAATTAGCACATACGCATATCATAGTTTGATCTACTTAGAAACCTGTGAAGGGGAAAAAAGAAAAAAATCCATAGTTGTTCAAAGTGTTGCTTAGACAGTCAACTGACATAGAACCAATGATTTGGTACTTCCCAAGTCCTTCTATCTGATCAACTTTGTCATTTCACCCAAAATATCACGCAGTAGTTACTTATAAGCCTAGCGAATCTCAAAGGACAAACTTGCAATTTATGCTGAGACATCAATGTTATCCCAAGTATGCAACAAGTTGAATACGCCAATTAAGAAAGGGAAAATGATTTTGAAGAGTTAGAAGAGATGTTAGGCTCACCCCATGGATGAATCAAAAACCCCATGTTGTAGATAAACAACCTTCCGAGCATCACGTCTGCAAAATTAAGTTTGAAACATCAAGCAATATCTATAAATGGGCATCCACCTTAAAGCTCTGATATAAAGTAGCGATGATGATCACAACAGAAATGCAAACCTTGGAATTCTCTCCAAAAGGAGAACATATCCATCATCAGTAACCACACGAAGAGCTTCATATGGGTATCTACAAAGGAAAGAGTAGCATGCTGAGAATAACTGAGATGCCAATTTTATTTGAAAAGCAAAGCACTGCTTAGTAATGAATACGAAGGGTTTAGAACATGCTTCAACAGTCTAGAGGACAATATCTACCCAAACAACACTGGTTGGTCCAAAATAAAACTGGGAAGTCAATGATTTTCATTTTCCTGTTTACAGTTGTAATCTCAAAAAATTTTGTAATATAATTCTTGTCCAAAAAGCAGTATGTCCAATCAATTTAGAGGTCATTATAACTTGAAAGTTAGTATTTCAAGAAAATAAGCACTCTCTACGCGCACTGGATTAGTTACAGCAGACACTAACACAATAGAAGTACAGAGAAGATGCTACTCTTATCCAGCACTTTACAGACCTTTAAAGAATTTGGTGAAATATTTTAGATCCAAACTTTAAAAAT